TAGAATTCTCTAGAGTATGAGAACTTATAGAATGAATCCATCTGTGTGTGTGTGTGTGTGTGTGTGTGTGTGTGTGTGTGTGTGTGTGTAGAATACATATACATATATAGTATTATTATATATAGAGATAATATATATACATATATATATATATATAAATTAATTATAATGACTTACAGGCTGTCCAGCTTATACAATAATGTGAACAGAAAGTCCAAGAATCCAGGAGTTGCTGGCTCTGAGGCTGGATGTCTAGGCTGGTCTTCAGTAGATGCTATAATGCAGAACTAGGCTCTAATGCCAGTGAAGGAACAGACTTGCTAACAAGATAAGAACAAGCAGGGGAAGACCAAAAGCTTCCTTCTTCCCCATCCTTAGATAGGCTTCTAGAAGAAGGTGTGGCCCAGAATACAGGTGGGGTTTCCAGCTAGCCCAAATGATCTGGATTAAAGGTGTGTCTACCCAACTCAAGATCTGGATTATAGGAGTATCTTTTCCACAGCTCAAAAGATCTAGATTAAAGGAGTTTCTTCCTACCTCAAAGATCCAGATTAGAGTCGTATCGTCCCATTTCAAATTAAGCAAATATAGCTCACAGATATGCCCTCCATTTTTGGGTTTTAGTTAATTCCAGATGTAGTCAAGTTGACAACCAAGAATAGCCATCACACAAGTAAAAAGAGTCAGGAACTCCAGCACACCCAAGGCTGCACCTGATAACCAGAACCCAGTGACATCACTTACTCAAGGTAACAGGACTGGAACTCCAGGATGTCCACTGGACAGTGTATGAGCAGAGATCAAGAGCAATGTATTGCTGTCACATCTTCAGGACTGTTAGGGAGATGCCACCTTGATCTGCCCTGCAGCTGCAGAGTCTCCCCGGGACCCCCACCCGTGAACCAGAGACTACCATGAGAGACTGGACCCACCTTCAGCTAAGATACTTCACACAGGTGAGCAGCCGTGGAGATAGGCTTAGGACCATAGTTAGGAACTATGTGCAATGACCCTCGGAGTAATGAAATACAAGGTTTGTTAGACTAAGTGCACGTACCTACCTCCCTCTTGCTGGAGACAGGGAGAAAATTGGTTCCTGGAAAGTGCGCTTGCCAAGGAAGAACTAGAGATGTCTTTCAATATGAAAGAGCTGTAGACATTTCTTCCCTGGTTGAGAGATCATAGAGTGTTAGACATGAGGCAAGACAGAAAATCAGAAGTGGAGAGGCTGGTCTCCCAGATGCGAAGAACAACGGAGGAGAAGCCTGATGAGAAGCCCCACCCTGAGTCTCCCAGGATGCCACTTGAGCCTAACTTTTGAGCACGCTCTCCACCCCACCCCCACCCTCTTCCAGGGTATTTTGCTGTGAGTTTTCCCACAATCCCCATCCCTGCTCTTCTCCTTTTCATCCACACCAGATGGCCCCAATAGACTCCACCTTAAAGACACACAGATACTAAACAGCCAGCAGCAGAGGGTTTTATTTATTTTTGATACTTCCAAAGACATAATAAGATTTTATTTAGTTTACCCAAACAACTATCCAGCAATATGTAAATCCATTTTTTATGGAAAACAAACCCCCTACACAGTCCAGTCTCATACTGCCTGGCAAACATCAGTCTGATGTGTTAGGATTTCAAAGTGCTGATAACAAATT